TATATGCTTTGTAACATTTTAGTTGTAGATAACGCCATTGTATGCATGCAATTTTTATGTAGGTTGTAGATTCTAAGCCTATGGGAACTACCCAAAATCGTGGATACAATAGAAAATGGCGTCTCGCGTAGCTCTCTCATAGTCTTCCTTTCGCAACCACACAGAAAGTGTCACATTGAATTAAGTAATCTGATATGCAACCATTCAGTTCCCCTTTTGCCCTTTGAGGTACGAAAATACACGCATACGATACAATACAATTTTTCTGAATGTACCTAATGACGCAACTAACTAAGAGAAGCCTGATTTTAATTTTGTTTGCTTTGTAGCCTGAAATTAATTGATCATAATTTTTAATGGAACCTAAACGTGTCGGAAAAACTCGAACAAAGGACGGTACTTTGCAATATTAAATTTACTCTTAATCAAGTCGGTAATTAGGCAGCTACCCAATGGAACGGGAACATAAAAATCGACCTGGTGGTTTTTGACACTAAGTAAATTGCCCATTCCACATTTACCACAAAGAGAATTGAGGAGGAATGAATTTATGAATATGAAATTATTCGGGCGTAATGTTTTAATTTATAAATGGAAGTAAATTTGTGCGTTATATTTAAGACTTTTCAGATCGCGGTTTTTTTCAGCCTCATTAATTCTACTCGCGCTGCTATTGAGGTTTGCGAGGAACGCTCTTTTTAAAAGTGAGAAAAATGAAGGTTCACTTTTCAGAATTGCAAATAAAAGATGAGGTGTACACACAGCATAACGTTGTATCGTGCGGGTTATTCAAAAGGTAAACAATGAAATTGAAACCATCGAAAATAGGAACGAAACCCCGAAATGCAATCTCGGGAAATTATTTGTATAATTTATAAGCTGGGTCGGTTTTACAGCACAACTTAAAAATTAATCGTGTAATGAATACATAAAAAACAACGCGATACAATATAATGTTTTGGTCATTAAATTAAAATGTGGTTTTCGGGCTTTGAAGTGAGCTTTTCATTTTTCAGAGTGGTTTTTCATTTATACGTACTATAATATTTTATGAGTTTCAACTAAAAACCCATGAATGTAAATGGTTCAATATGCTTTAGTGGTTCCATTAATTATTTCCTTCACTTGCTTTTAGCATTGAGACACTTAACTTAGACAACCGGTAAGGTGCGATCGTTCAAAATCATTTTCAGTTAGTGAAATTTCGTACTAATTTTGTGACCTGATACAAATGTTAATGTTAAATTTAAAATATTGTCGATTGCACACATCCGTCAAGTTAAAACAATGAAAGCTCGGGTTAATTCGCTGAAGTGGTGGCATTATTGCCTATTCAACCGTGTAGCTTGTGATAAATGTGTTACAGTGATTTCTTCCAAAAAAATATGAAAATATGAATTGGAGGACGTGGATCAAAATGAATAAAAAAATTTTGTTCTACGACAAGTGGAAGAGCGTTGTATTTTATAAAAGGGAGCAAGAAGATATAGAACCCTTTTAACAATTTTTAATCGGCGTATTAATGGTTGTTCTAAATGTTTGGCTTTACTGTACAGAAGTAGATCATACGCAACAGGGATATTACAAGAGAGATTTATACACATAATTTATATAAGGGCCACTGTAATAAATTTGTCAGTTATAACACTTTATGTAAAGGGTAGCTGTTCCGTGTTTGTATTAGCTACCAAACTACCCTCGATGCGACTAAAGAACAAACCTATCATACTTTGGTAGTAATTGAAAAAGTTTCAAGTTACAGATCAGATTTACCAAAGTGAACAACCTTCAATCATGATATTTGTCAAAAATAGATTTCAAATTTTCTGTTAGTTCTTTAAGTTCTTGAATATTCAAATTCCACGTTCTTCGATTAGGACAAAAACTTTCCACCAGGGAATCAGCCCTGAAAAAAGTAGTATAAATTTGTATTAAATATTGACCTCTCCTAACTGCAACATTTTTAAGCCCCACGTTGGGCGCCATTATGTAACAGGTTTGCATATTAAGAGGGTGGACTCCTATTTCCTTGAAATAGGTGATAGGAATTGATTTTCCTAAAATGAACTTTAAAATTTTGTAGCCAATTTTGCAAATTTATTTATTTATTTATTTATTTAACCAGAAACCATACAGAATAAAAATTCCAATTACATGGCACTGGGGCTCTGAACAAATATTAGGACTAGGATCTAATTTTATTTATTATTGAATTTAGGGGATCGTGAAAAAAGTCGATATCATTAACTGAGGATAACTTATTTAAAGCGATCAAGATCTTAATAAGTGGGGAAGTTGTGTTGTTAACTACAAAAATAGTATTATTTTGCCTTAGCTTAACAAATGGTACCTTAAGCTTAATTTCTTGAAGTAATTCGGAAGAGTATAACAAGTTGTGTAAAATTTTGAAGACAAACATTGTGGAGGCAATGTACCGTCGGGTTTCTAACCTCGTTATATCTAAGCCGAAAGTACTATTTAAGTAATTAAGCTGGGTACCGTAAGAGATCAAATGTGGATAACTTTGGGTTGACCTAAAAAACATTACTCGGATGAACTTTTTCTGCACTTTTTCGATCATGTCTGAGTATTTGAGAGTTTGAGGAGACCAGATACATGCAGCATACTCCAGCTTGGATCTAATAAACGCATTATATAAGGTTAGCATTGTCTGTATATTCATGAAATTGAGTGTATGCCTGATAACGAAACCAAGAAGTTTGTAACACTCATTTGTTAGGTATTCAATGTGTAAGTTAAAGTTAAGGTTGGTATTGAAAAACACGCCCAGGTCCTTAACGGAGGTGACTCGTAGTAATACCTTTCCATTCATCTTATAGTCAAAAAGTAAGGGATTTTTCGATCTAGTAAAAGTAAGGACTTTACACTTATTGATATTTAGTTTTAGTTTATTTTTGATACACCAGTTAATTACTGAGTTAATGTTCTCTTGAATATTTAAAGTCACTTGCGGATTGGACTTCATTAAAAAGTTTTAGGTCGTCCGCAAATAGTAGTGCTTTCGAGTTTTTTTATCACTCGCGGTAAATCATTTATGTATAAGAGAAACAGAAAAGGACCAAGAAGTGTTCCCTGGGGAACGCCTGATGAGGGATAAAATTCGGCTGAATTCACACCATTGAATTTCACTCTTGTTTTACGGAAAGATAAATATGATTTGACGGTCGGATTACTTACGCAATTTAAAACAAGTTTACGGAGCAAGACTTGATGGGATACTGTATCAAATGCCTTCGCAAAATCTGTATAAACACAGTCCACCTGGGCTCTCTCATACAAGGCTCCTGCTGAGAAATGCGTAAACTGCATTAAATTTGTAATCGTTGATCTGTTCCGCGTGAAACCGTGCTGTTGATCTGCAATTATACTGTTGAGATGGGAATAAAGTCTAGTATAGATCACTCTTTCGAAAATTTTCGCTATTGCTGGTATAATTGCAATTGGGCGATAATTCTCAACTAATTTCGGCTTCCACTTTTGTGAATTGGTGTTATTCTGGTGCATTTCCAAGCTTCAGGGAATGTACATGTTTGCAAAGCTAAATTAAATAGATGTAGTAAGGGGGTTAGCAATAAAGATGCACATGCTTTCACGATGTAGGGTGGGATTCCATCTTCGCCTATAGCCGACCTCTGTTTCAATTTTTTAATTGCTTCCAGTATCTCGGATTCATGTAACTGAGTCAAGTGCAATTTGGATAGCACCAGGTCCGATTCCACGTCATCTTCCGGTCATCGTTCCTCTCCATAGTGTAGACTGACTCGAAGAAGGATGCAAAGGCGTCCGCAATGCTTCTGGCGTCCGTTAACGAGGTGTCTTTGTACTCAAAAACTCCAGGTAGTTCTTCCTCAACGACTTGATGTAGTTCCAGAATTTATTGGAATTCTTCCGCAGATCCATTTCAATTTGATTAATGTACCTCTTATGAGCAATGTGGATCATTCTTTTGAGTTTTTTTCTGGCTTCAATGAAGTCTTCCGATGGGCCCTGTAACCGAAACTTATTTTTCTGTTTGATTTTCTTAATAATGTCTATATTAAACCAGCTAGGATACTTATTGGCACTCCTAATTGTCACTTTGGGGACACATTCATCGAAAATGTTCATTACCGTTTGATTAAAGCTAGTTACTGCATCATCTACCGATTTGAAATTCTTCAGGATAAGAGACTCCTTCCAATTGATATCGCGAAAAAGGACGTACATTTTAACAAAATCTGCTTTTTTGAAATTGAAGTTGGTTAATTTGGTAATTCGCTTAGCTGGTCTATGGACTTTGTAGACTATTTCTAGTGCAGGATGAAGTGGATTAATTTTATCCAGTGAGTCGACAGCAGATTTAATTTCCGCGTTTAAGTTAGTTAAAATTAGGTCAAGGGTTCTATTATTGCAGTTTTTAAGTTTAACCGTATTAATGAGTTTTAAGTTGTACATCGAAGCTATATTTTTAATTACTTTGCATTTAGCACTCGCGTTTTCGAAATTATACGTGGCGTCAACAATTTGTGGTAGGTTAAAATCGCCTGCTATTAACACTTCCGATGAATGCAACATGTTTTCAATTGTTTCTAAACTTTTGGTAAAACTCACGTACTTATCAATACCAGATTTCGGTTGAAAGTAGACAACACCAATAATGTATGAAGTATTATTAATTTTAAGTTTGACCCATATTTCATTTAGATCACTTTGAAATTCCAATTTTTCAGCATTCAAATCGGTCTTGACTGCGATTAAAACTCCGCCTCCCATGGTGCACTTCATTTCTTCGTAATTACGGTCATTGCGAAAGACCGCATATTGATTGTTTAAATACTCAGCGTCATGAAAATTTTCCGTTAACCAGGTCTCAGTCAGTAGAATAATGTCGTAATTTGTAATTGCCAATTTATTTTTGAAAGATTGCGCTTTCGTTCGCATTCCACTTACGTTCTGATAATAGATTGAGAGCGTTGATCCGTTCCTATTTCCTTGCTTGATTAGTGTTGGGGATGGCCTAAAAAATCAATTCTGCTTCTTTCTTGATCGAGTCGTTTTTTGTAGACTGGGCAATCAACACTCCAGGCCGGGTGCTGTACATCCAGTTTCATTTTTAGTTTCTCAACGGCGTTGGCACAGTTACTGCATTTGATTTCCGCGTCCGAAGCTTTACAGCTCGCTAGGTCATGGGCTCCCGCACATTTGGGGCAGGTAGTAGTTTTGCTACAGTCAGTTGCCTTATGTCCGAACCCATTGCATTTGTAGCATCTTCTAGTTGTCACAGCATCATAAATTCTGCAACGGTCCCATCCTATGTTAAGCTTTTGTTCACTTAGAATTTTCCGGTAACTATTACCGTCAACCTCAGCGTAAGCCAAATACCTGTTAGGATTTCTTTTATCTTCCGTTATGTGTACGACGTTTATGTACGCGGCTTCGTCGAGGAATTGATTCTGCGCGAGAATCATTTCCTTCATTTGGGTACTTCCGATCTTGTCATTGAGGCCTACGATTTTAATCTTCGGCATCTTCTGTTTTGGTAAGGAAAGAATGTAGTCGGATCCCAGTTTCGTTTCGGCTTCCTCCTTAAGTTTGGCTGCAGCTTCTTTATTTTTACATTCAACAACAATGGTTCCTCTACGTAGAGTTTTCATTCCGGTAACTTCTCGGGTAATTGGATCCGATATTTTCTTTGAGGGTGGTGAAGGTTTGCTTGGAGGGTTGGTTCGCGTCCTTGGGCTTAACAATGATAACTGGGTCATAGGTTTTCTGTTTCAACTTGTCCGCATAAGTAAGCTTCACTTCAGATTGAGTTTGGAGAACTTGCGCTAGATCCTTGCTGATGCTGACATTTTGGGTATTTACCTGGTCTAAAGTATCCTTTAATAGCTTCTCGTGGTTCATCAGTTTCTCGTGCTGACTTTCCATAACTCTATCCCAGTTCATCGTCACTTTGTTGATGTTAGTCAAGATATTCCTGAGGCTGTGTGATTCGTGGATAGCGCAGGGGTCACAGAACCAATTAAAGTTCTTTTTTGAGTTAATAAATTTAACTTCATCGTCACTGACTTTAACGCCCTTCGTGTGAAAGTAAGTTTGGCACCAACTAGCACAAAGAATAACTTTATCTGTACGATTAAGATCCACCCGACAAACACCACAGATAGCAGTTGGCATTGCGGCGGCAAGTAAGGGTGGTACTCCCCCTCACGATTTGGTTTATATTAACAAATTAGTTCTATTCTTAATTGACACTTATAATCGCGATCGACCACTCGTTACGATTCATTGTTGGCAATTTAATCAATTTATTAGATTGAGATGTAGAATGCGTTTGTGAATTACCAGTAGAAGAAACATTTGATTCGGCACGGCTTTCAATAATGTTGCGTGCAGTGGAAATGATTCGAAAATATTTGTCCTCAAATTCCTCTAACTCCTCTGAATAATCTTTATCAACTTCTAAACCTCCTAATTCGCGCAAATTTAATTCGAAATCAGTTAAGAGCGATTCGCCCCGTTGAAGACGAGCCTTTAATTCAGTAATATCTTTGGTATGATCAAAATTTGTGACGTAATTGTGAAATCTCGTTAATGACGATTTAAGTTGTTTGCGTTGATTTAAACATGAATTTAACGTTAATTCCGCCATAATTAATACGTAAGGAATATGAGTACATATATCAATTTACGAACTATAATTTGCAATAAATTGGCAAAAATGTTTGTACAATAATAAAATCTTAGGAATGTATTGACAAAGGATCGACTTACTAATTTGGCCTGGAGTACCTGCCTCAGAACAATAGATTTAATGAGTTCCCGAGCTGGTGTACAGTTGCTCCATAAACCGACGATTGGAATGTTGCTTTCGAAAAATGTCCTTGGATGATTGATGAGTCGTTCTATCCTTTACCTGCTTGCTGGAAGTTTGCTTCGGCTTCTCACAAAACTTTTTTATTAATAAATTAAAAATCGCGTTTATTTAAATTTCGACTTCTGATAATCCGGAACGAATGGACCATAAAATATGTTGTATTCTCTTCGTTAAAAAATAAATACTCGTATGTTCGTTTAAATAATTTAATAGCAAATAGTGGACTGTATCAACTTTACTCGCCTACATAACTAGTACGAATGCCAAAAGTGGCTTAAGGTATAAATACAAGAAAACTAGAGAGGGGTAGTGCAGCAAGGTCAAGTTCTGTACAATATTTAACATTAATCGTGTAATGAATACATAAAAAACAACGCGATACAATATAATGTTTTGGTCATTAAATTAAAATGTGGTTTTCGGGCTTTGAAGTGAGCTTTTCATTTTTCAGAGTGGTTTTTCATTTATACGTACTATAATATTTTATGAGTTTCAACTAAAAACCCATGAATGTAAATGGTTCAATATGCTTTAGTGGTTCCATTAATTATTTCCTTCACTTGCTTTTAGCATTGAGACACTTAACTTAGACAACCGGTAAGGTGCGATCGTTCAAAATCATTTTCAGTTAGTGAAATTTCGTACTAATTTTGTGACCTGATACAAATGTTAATGTTAAATTTAAAATATTGTCGATTGCACACATCCGTCAAGTTAAAACAATGAAAGCTCGGGTTAATTCGCTGAAGTGGTGGCATTATTGCCTATTCAACCGTGTAGCTTGTGATAAATGTGTTACAGTGATTTCTTCCAAAAAAATATGAAAATATGAATTGGAGGACGTGGATCAAAATGAATAAAAAAATTTTGTTCTACGACAAGTGGAAGAGCGTTGTATTTTATAAAAGGGAGCAAGAAGATATAGAACCCTTTTAACAATTTTTAATCGGCGTATTAATGGTTGTTCTAAATGTTTGGCTTTACTGTACAGAAGTAGATCATACGCAACAGGGATATTACAAGAGAGATTTATACACATAATTTATATAAGGGCCACTGTAATAAATTTGTCAGTTATAACACTTTATGTAAAGGGTAGCTGTTCCGTGTTTGTATTAGCTACCAAACTACCCTCGATGCGACTAAAGAACAAACCTATCATACTTTGGTAGTAATTGAAAAAGTTTCAAGTTACAGATCAGATTTACCAAAGTGAACAACCTTCAATCATGATATTTGTCAAAAATAGATTTCAAATTTTCTGTTGTGCACTTTAAGTTCTTGAATATTCAAATTCCACGTTCTTCGATTAGGACAAAAACTTTCCACCAGGGAATCAGCCCTGAAAAAAGTAGTATAAATTTGTATTAAATATTGACCTCTCCTAACTGCAACATTTTTAAGCCCCACGTTGGGCGCCATTATGTAACAGGTTTGCATATTAAGAGGGTGGACTCCTATTTCCTTGAAATAGGTGATGGGAATTGATTTTCCTAAAATGAACTTTAAAATTTTGTAGCCAATTTTGCAAATGACCCATCATGATATCGAACTAATTTAAACTCCCATTTTACAGGTTTTCTATTTACAGCTTCCCCTATGAATTTTTAAGCTAACAAGATCTTGGACTCATTTACTTGGAAATTTTCATTACAAGAAATTAAAAACAATTTTAAATTTTTTCTAATAATTTGAATGTGAATGAGTTTGCTCAAATACATATAATACAAAGGACTAACATTTGCCCACAGAATGGTGTCTTTAAGAAGTTTACGTTAATCAAAATTATAATTTACAAATTGTTTCTTCAAGACAAACAACTTATTTAAATACACAAATTATACAAATAAAATAACTGGGAAAAAAAGGTCGTCCTACAGATGTTGATAGAAACCAGATTGGAGTTATTCCTGGCAATACAATACTCCTTGAAGAGATAGAATGGTGCGGCCTGTAAAATGGATCCGTCGGAGACATTTTCTTCTACAAACTTGTCAAGGAGTCGTTTTCTTCTGGATGACGATTTCCGGACGTTAAAATACCAATGTTTATATATCGCAAGCGATTAATATTTTTAACTACCACAAAAGTGCGTTGCTCTTTAAGGCCTCTTTGTCTTTGGTATTATTAGGAAAAATTTCCACCACGCAAAATCGTACACTTTACTTTTACAAATGCTTTTTTCTTATACGCGTATTAGAAATCACTTTATTTTCTTTACGAATTCTAATTAGGTTTTCGATTTACACACTAATTTTTTTCTTAAACACATTCGAATTTATCCCTTTATGGGTGTTATTTGACGACCCTGAACCCCGCCGCAGTGACTTGCTTACATGTTATAACAGTAGGGTTAGGCTGGTGCCTCAAACCCGCTTCAGAAACGACCTGCTAGTGCATGCTAGTAAAAAATAAAGGCTTGAGGTCTTCCACAGCGGCTGATTTGTTTCGGGTATTATAATCTTTGGTGCTTCTTCAAAAACTTACCATTAGTTGAGCGCAGAGCTGGACAGTATTCGAATTTGTAAATACTTTTTAGTATTCAAATCCTTTAAAAGTATTCAAATACTTTGTAATTAAATACTTTTATGGAAGCAGTATTTGTATTTGTAACTCAAATACTTTCACAAATATTTAGTATTCGAATTCTTCGCAAGGTATTTGAATACTTTGAGAAGTATTCGAATACTTCGCATAGTATTTGAATACTTAACCTTCCTTTTTTTTACCAAAAATCGACTACAACAAAATTTCTCGGGAAAACATTTTTTTTTATTAATTTTGGTGCGTAGAATCCAAAACAATTGGTACTTTTTCGATCAGACTTCTCAATCAAAAGTTATAGACTAGAAACCAATTTCGAAAGAAAATTCAAAGGGCTGTAACTTTTAAACTAGTAGCCCAATCTTGGAACTGTTTGAAATTATGGATTCTACAGGCCACATTCTATAAGAAAATTTTTTTTCCGGGTCGATCTGAGACAATTTTTTTTCGGGCCCCAAAAAAAGGCAGTGTATAACCTTCCTTTTTTACCAAAAATCGACTGCACCAAAATTTCTCGGGAAAACACTTTTTCTTATTAATTTTGGTGGGTAGAATCCAAAACAATTCGTACTTTTTCGATCAGACTTCTCAATCAAAAGTTATAGACTAGAAACCAATTTCGAAAAAAAATTTAAAGGGCTGTAACTTTTGAACTAGTAGCCCAATCTTGGAACTGTTTGAAATTATGGATTCTACAGGCCACATTCTATAAGAAAATTTTTTTCCGGGTCTATCTGAGACAATTTTTTTTCGGGGCTCAAAAAAAGGCAGTGTATAACCTTCCTTTTTTACCAAAAATCGACTGCACCAAAATTTCTCGGGAAAACACTTTTCTTATTAATTTTGGTGCGTAGAATCCAAAACAATTCGTACTTTTTCGATCAGACTTCTCAATCAAAAGTTATAGACTAAAACCAATTTCGAAAGAAAATTCAAAGGGCTGTAACTTTTGAACTAGTAGCCCAATCTTGGAACTGTTTGAAATTATGGATTCTACAGGCCACATTTTATAAGAAAATTTTTTTCCGGGTCGATCTGAGACAATTTTTATTTCGGGGTTCAAAAAAAGGCAGTGTATAACCTTCCTTTTTTACCAAAAATCGACTACACCAAAATTTCTCGGGAAAACACTTTTTCTTATTAATTTTGGTGAGTAGAATCCAAAACAATTCGTACTTTTTCGATAAGACTTCTCAATCAAAAGTTATAGACTAGAAACCAATTTCGAAAAAAAATTCAAAGGGCTGTAACTTTTGAACTAGTAGCCCAATCTAGGAACTGTTGGAAATTATGGATTCTACAGGCCACATTCTATAAGAAAATTTTTTTTCAGGGTCGATCTGAGACAATGTTTTTTTCGGGGCTCAAAAAAAGGCAGTGTATAACCTTCCTTTTTTACCAAAAATCGACTGCACCAAAATTTATCGGGAAAACACTTTTTCTTATTAATTTTGGTGCGTAGAATCCAAAACAATTCGTACTTTTTCGATCAGACTTCTCAATCAAAAGTTATCGACTAGAAACC